TTAATGGCGTTTGGTTTTGAAACTCAAAATAAGTGCAACAACAAACTGGATATTCTGAAGCAATTTGAAATTTAAGAAAGCTTGGTGCAGCTGTGGTAAGAAAGGTTGAGCCACTTATAGATTCACAGTTGGGAGCTCAGGATTGAAAATCTTACTAAAATAGCTTTGTAGTGATCATCCCCAAACTAAATACCAAGAACTGTTCTGCTAACACTTTAACAAACAGAGTCCTGACTCATAAGTCGTAAAGTTCAACACAACTATTACATCGCACAGTGTAAGAGTAAGTAATACTAAGACAGACTCGCAATGCTGGGTTAGTGGGCCAGCAATTTACTTTTATCAAAGTAAGAGTTAATAATGAATAATGATGGCTCATGTCAATACTCTTCTGCAGATTAAGGTACATGTGAACTGTGAAGGGTACATTAATATAACAAAGATGCGAGATTATTGGCTGTTAACCAGCTCATGGAGGGCACACTAATCCCCGTAATTAATTTTAATCAACGTAACCTAGCAACGTAACCTAGCAACGTAACCTAGCGACGTAACCTAGCAACAAAACCTAGCAACGTAACCAAGTAACGTAACCTAGCAACGTAACCTAGCAACGTAACCTAGCAACGTAACCTAGCGACGTAACCTAGCAACAAAACCTAGCAACGTAACCAAGTAACGTAACCTAGCAACGTAACCTAGCAACGTAACCTAGCAACGTAACCTAGCAACGTAACCTAGCAACGTAACCTAGCAACGTAACCTAGCAACGTAACCTAGCAACGTAACCTAGCAACGTAACCTAGCAACGTAACCTAGCAACTTAACCTAGCAACGTAACCTAGCAAAGTAACCTAGCAACGTAACCTAGCAACTTAACCTAGCAACGTAACCTAGCAACGTAACCTAGAAACGTAACCTAGCAACATAACCTAGCAACGTAACCTAGAAACGTAACCTAGCAACGTAACCTAGCAACGTAACCTAGCAACGTAACCTAGCAACGTAACTTAGCAACGTAACCTAGCAACGTAACTTAGCAACGTAACCTAGCAACGTAACTTAGCAACGTAACCTAGCAACGTAACCTAGCAACGTAACCTAGCAACGTAACCTAGCAACGTAACCTAGCAACGTAACCTAGCAACGTAACCTAGCAACGTAACCTAGCAACGTAACCTAGCAACGTAACTTAGCAACGTAACCTAGCAACGTAACCTAGCAACGTAACCTAGCAACGTAACCTAGCAACGTAATCTAGCAACGTAACCTAGCAACGTAACCTAGCAACGTAACCTTATGTCATGTCAAAAACCCGGCCCGGGTTGTACCTTGAGTCTGGGTAGTGGTGCTTATAATATCTTTTGATATTTGTGGCCTGGTACTAGGTGGAGTCTAGCTTGCAATATTAGCTTCATAACACTATAAGGAGCACAAAACAAGTTCTGCTAACATTTATATGATAGGTCGAAAATAAATGAAGAAATAGATTAAGTCGAGCAGAGAGGATGATTTTAACGGTCAATGTTCTTTATCTAATTGCATTCTGGTAGACGCAAACTGCAGACGGCCAAAGACCGCAGTAAATAACGATCGATGTCATTTCTTCATACTCATGAATATATGAAATTTCTGCATACTAATAATAACTTAAAATTTAGGTCCCCCGGTATTTTCCCGAATTTTGAGTATTTTTAAAAGAAAAAAGCAAAAAAAGAAGGCCTGCATTTTTCTATTTTTCTTTATTTAACTATTTAAGGACATATTTACGGTTCGCCACTGGTCAGAAACAAATAATATTTCAGCTATCAGTATAACTGTATAAGAGAGCACTTAGTTTAACGTATTTTTAGATCATTAACGTATTAATGACCAGTGACCACACGTGCGGAAATACAGGGTGGGCCAAAAGTCAGTACCCATACGTTGGCCTTAATAGCTCCGCCGTGTTTTATATTTGAGAGCTGTTGCTTTGCAGATGGCATACTGTACTTACTGGTTCGAGGATTCCGTCGTCAAAATTTGAAAATTCGAATATTTTAGACCACGCCCATTCAATATTAAAACACCTATATTGTTTTCTCTGAACATGCTGAACGCCTAATTTTTTCAGAGACGGTAGATTATCAAATGTTGCATATGATCTGAAAACATGAGGCAAAACGGATTAGAAATGACGAAGTTATCAAGCATTTTCTGTATCTCGTTAACAATATTGACTGGGTGATTATGTGACACCGTGACACGACACCTTAATTGGGCACCCTTAACAATTCCCATAATGTTTAACGGGGTAGTTAACGGGGGCACCTTATCACGTGATTAGGTAAACCAATCACCTGATCACACGTAATGAATAAACTCGTTATGCTTCATATCTCGGTCATCTGAGAAGCTACAGTTCTAATTCTTTCAGGACAAACGTAATTCGAATGGCCAAACACAATTCAATAACATTTAGCTTGATCCAACTATCCAAACTATCAAATAAATGTGAAAATGAACCTCCATTTGAAAAAAATGAACGCGAATATTTTTCGAGTTGACAAATTCCTCGAACCAGTGGTGGTATTAAGTCATACCAGAAAGAAGTATTTAAATTGGGCACTCAGTGACTGAGCTATAAAGGCCAACGTATGGGTACTGACTTTTGGCCCACCCTTACTTATTATTCATAAGTTTTGTGAATAACATAAGTTTTTTGGTATTCAAGCATTTAAGTGCCCTACGCTAACCAATGATCGTTGAATATTATTATCTTTTTCCAATTATAAAACATATTCTTGCATATTGATTATTGTTGAGAAAAATGAACTAGTATAATTATATAACGTAGTTCAGTTGTACAGACAGCTTATGAAATATATATCATCCAAATTTTGACCACTAATTACTAAAATCAAAGTTGAGTTCTTAAATTTTGTAACCAGGCATTACGATACTATTTATTTTCAAAAGTAAGCTATTGAGTTAGCATAAACGAAGATACAGGAAAATTAAAACCCGTACGTGTAATTTCCAGAATAGTTGCTAGAGACTGAAGTATAATCGACAATTACAGTAACACTTACAAAATGAGTCTATTTCCGATCAATTCTACCTCTTATCATACCTTCGTGTAAATTCCGGGAATTAAGCTGGAATTACGGATACAAGATTTGGCGCCTCTCTCAGATTCCTTTCAATCTAAGTCATGCCTTGAGAAAAGTTTAATGTGATGGCATAACTGCACAGTTAGCTGAGAAATATCTTTGAAAGTTCCCAAGGTTTATTTTTTACTGAACAAATAAGTGGTCATGATCACTGTGCGCGATCTCATGAGAAATGTGAATGTGCGGATAGAATTGCTCTGTGCAGGCAACAAGGTTACCAGGTTGAGCTTTTTCTACACATGATTTAATTTAAACTAATAATTGTTAAAGAATGTATTGTTTAAGTTTCTGATTCCCCACTAGACTCTTTAATTACATTTTGAAAAGGTTCCACCATTTATTGTATGGTACTTTGTCCTTATCTAATTTTTTGGAACGACAGAAGAGATAACATCACGTATAAGACACACGACCGAATCGGGAAATATTAACCCCAATCAACTGATCTTATCGGGCGGTCACCTGATACTAAAACTGATACTAAAACATAAAAACGAAATAGTGGCCATTCTTGTTATACGATCAGTGATCATATGTCAAGTATGCAGCCGCTGTTGCATGATGATCAGTGATCCGTATCTAATCATTTAACTCACCTAATTACCCGAAGAATGTAAATCCGAATGTAAATCCGACCCCAGCTGTGAACTGATTAGTCACTGATAATAACGACAATTTACCCTTTTTTTTCTTCAAAAAAAGTGAGGCTGGACCTAGATGGTCCTCGAAAGTATAGCATGAGAATGCTCTGCCTCACTGCTTGCCTCTGGGGTACGGCAACACTGACTGAAGGGGATTGCCGGAGTTATCTATGGGGAGATGATAGAGGTGGGTAACACTAACAAGTGAAATGATGGAGGATGAGTAGACGCTTTAGTGCCAAATGCAGGATGATGATCAGAGATAATGAGTTAAGACAACATGCTAACATGAGTAGAATCTAGACAGTTTTTGGGAGTTCCAAATAGTTTTTGGTTATTCTGATCTGCGACAAATGATACTGCACTGTTAGGATAAACGACGTTTCAAAGTAACAACTTCTTATTCATGCTCAAATTATTTGTTATATAGTAGTGTTGAAAGTATTAAAACGTAAAAAGTAGAATCTAGGTCACTCCGGTCAGGTCCACTTCCTCAGGCACGATTAGGCGTTTAGTGCGATTTGCGAAGTTGACAATAGTGGTGATATGTTGGTTGTCAAACTGAAGCATCAAAGATGTCGTTGACGGAAAGGTAATAATTCTAAAAATATTGCCTTCTTATTTGTACAATAGCTGGGTACTGTCCAACAAAGTGCGAGAAAGTCTCATCTTTATTGTCGCATATAAGACACTCACTGGTGCTTGATTTGCAAAGTTAATTGTGTTGAGGTGTTTGTTTAGACCAAAGCACAGTGTCCCGTGATATCTACAATCAAGCACGGCCTTATCACGGTGATAAGGATCACTACAGTTTTGTATTTCTGTTGTTGTTATTGAATTTAGTGTTAAAAGGTTTAAGGTTAAGGTTTTTGATGATGGTAACATTTTAGTGTACCTGGGACCATCAGCTGACCAGTCTTATCGAATAAATATCTAACCTAATTAGGAAATATTAACCCCAATCAACTGATTGAGATCTTATCAGACAGTCGCCTGATACTAAAAAAAGAGTAAAAAATGAAACAGTGGCCATTCATGACATATGATCACTGATCGTATGTCAAGCCTGCAGCCGCTGATGATCACTGATCGGGATGATCCGTCTCAAATCACGTAATTCTCTTAAATACATAACTGGTGTGACTACTGAAGAATGTAAATTCGATCCCAACTGAGTAGTCGCTGATAAGATCGACCAATTACCTTATAAACACCGATTGTTGGCATTTTTGGTTTGTTGATCCATTATCAGATATTTGTTGTTATCTTGAATTCACAGTGTGTTTGTGTATCAGTGTATTTTTATGCATGGGTGAGCCACGGACATTTTATCTTTGTGAAGGCATTCTATTTCTGTTTGTTTTCACGGTCACAGTCTGGCAACCCTTGCTCCCTCAGTTTATTTACTCCGATATTCTGGACGAGATTCGTTTGTAAGTATTTTACAATTATCTGGCTTTATTTTGTTGGCTTTACTGGCTTTACTTTGCGGTTAATTTGAAAAACAGCAAAATTTCAATTATGTTAAATCTTAAAACGTTGCACTTTAACGTTTTAAGATTTAATATAATTTAACTTTAACCTAAAGTTAAACGTGGCCGTGGTAACAAGCTAACATATGCAAAATTTAAAAAAGGGTCCGAATTCTACGGTGTGAGACTTTACAGGTGATTTGTCGGCGCAACAAAATTATGGTTAGGGTTTAGATTTTGGTTAGGGTTAGGTTTAAGGTTAAGCCTAAGGTTAAGGTTAAGGTTAAGGTTAAGGTTAAGGTTTAAGGTCAGGGTCAGGGTCAGGGTCAGGGTCAGGGTCAGGGTCAGTGTCAGGGTCAGGGTCAGGGTCAGGGTCAGGGTCAGGGTCAGGGTCAGAGTCAGGGTCAGGGTCAGGGTCAGGGTCAGGGTCAGGGTATGAGAATTTTCTCTCAACAAAACCTAACCCTAGTTTTTTGCAGCAACAAATCTCCCGCCGCAAATTATTTATGAACGGTGACTGTAATTTTGCTAAAATTGTGAAATATAACTGCTCAAAAATCCAACTTGACAATATAATAGTAAATAGAGATGTACCATTCTAAATTAGCAAGCTGTTTCTACTTTCTAATAATAGCAGCAACTCGACTCTACAATGTCGAGACTACAAAGTCGTTAGTCTTTGCCGCTACAAATTAACCCGATTAGGGACAGCAGATGGTTGATATAATTATAGGTGTCAAACAGGATTTAACTTCAGTTGACAGAGAAAATTTCAGAAACTGCGACAACACCTGTCAAGTCACAAGTGTCAAACGTTTCTAAAAAACTCGTACTATGACTGTTGCACCCATACTTGTTTCCGGCAAACAATACTAATAGTGTCCGTGTCTGGTCGTATAAATATGCCTCATTTGACTAATCAAGGTCAAAATATGCAGTGGATGAAACAATATTCGGGCCGTGGGATATAATTAGTGCAGGCGACGGAATCTTTCAATCAGAAAGTAACCTGCCATGTACTGCAGTGTGGGGGGGGGGGGTGTAGCCTCTTAAGGATATAAACAAGCATCTGAAAGTAGCCTACCTACTGAAACTCAGCGTTTATTGTTGGTTTGTGTTATGGCTGGAAATTGGAGAAGCCACATCAAACGCTAGTCACGATCGGTTATTACAATCCAAACTGGCGAAAACTCAAACCCCTTAAAGTATCGACAATGACTCTTGTTAAATAACCCTTCACATTTCCCAGAAAATCAGAACAAGACCGCGATAACGCCACCATCAACTGGCAGTGGCACGGCAGATGTGGTTACTACGAAGATTCCAGTCTGAGCCAGTGCTTTAGGATGGCACGAGAGAATCTGGCCCTAGAGAATCTGGCCCAACAAGCCACTTCGCACATCATGGTATCAGCGTCCTGTCTCAGCGAAGTGATCGGAGTTGTTACTGGTTTCTTTTGGGCTGCACTCAGTGACAGGTTTGTGAAAATATCTTTTGAACCGCAAAAGTGCAAAATTTAATTGAATAATTGCACTGGTCTGAATAAAGTCTAGCTATAATTGGGTTCTCCAATAAGCTGAATTTACATTTATTTAGCAATTTTAAATATTCATAATTCAGGAAGGGACGAAAGTGGCCGATGGTGGCGAGTTGTATAGCTCAGGGACTATTCACTTTGGTTCTGTTTCTCTTCCTCATCGTACCCGTGAATGTAAGAATAAAAAAGAAACTGGAAATTAAATCTTTTCAATTCTGAGTTTTTACTGAGTTTATAATTTATATTCAACTCTAATAAAAATTTCAAAATTTCAGAGATGGTGGTTGATAGGAGCATATATGCTGATCTCAGGAACAGGGGGAGGTATAGAGACCATCCTGATTGGAACGAAGACCCTCATCTCAGACATGTGCAAGCCATCCCACAGAACTAAATGCCTGGCCGTTAACGAGAGTGTTCGAACATTCGCTCAGGTCCTGGGCTTCTCCCTCAGCGGGGCTCTCATCAACTCTCTCGGAGCTGCACCTGTCTGCTTCGGCTGTATGGGCACTTTCGTGGTGTTATCAGTTCATTGTCTACTTTTACAAGAGTCCAGGGCGAAAGCCGTCCCGCAGTGTAACTCATATTCTAAGTTATTCAGGTTTTATAATTACAGTCACCCCAGATATGGTACAGAGAAGAAAAGGGCTAGACTATCCATTTGTTTAAGTATCCTCGGGAGACTGTCCTTCTCAGCACCAGCGAACCTGTTTGTAATATACCTCATTAGTGAACCCTTCAACTTCAGTGCAACCCTCATCGGGGCATTCCTCGGCTACAAAACTCTAGCTTTGTCAGTGATATGCCTCATCTACACAATTATTCCCTCGTATTTACTGAAAACAATAAAAGATACCCACATGATAGCCGCGGGACTGTCCCTCCTCGCACTCTCGTATCTCGTCTTCATGGTGTCAACCTCAACTATAACCCTGTTTTTAGGAGGCACACTCTACGGCATGTTTGGTCTAGCAGCCATCAGTTTCAACTCCCTCCTCAGCAAGTATGTCCCAGAGAGTCAGCTAGCGTTCTGGTACTCAATAACCACCGGGTCTGAGAGGTTGCTTATCTGCCTCATAATTCCCGCTATCAGCTTCACGTATCAAAAGACTAAATTATGGCCCGTTCACGGGTTTTGTTTTATCATACCGCTTGTTTTGACCCTGACTTCAGGAATTGTTTTGGCAGTTTATTGGAAACAGTTTAGTAATCAGACTAGAACAGTATTGACCGAGTTTTTACCATTGTGTCGTTACCAATGTAATCGGGTTGGTTATAATTCTTGTGGCAAAATTTGTGCCGAAAAACAAAATAATTTTATTAAGAGCAAATGAACACACAAATTAATTCGGGATTTTCCTATTTTTTCTTATGTTTCGTTGTTTTATAGTTATGATATTTATTCAAGCAGCTACGATCAGCATTATTTTTACCGCAGTAACCTTTTATCTTTCTCTACCATGTTCATGTTCAGTGAAAACGGAAAAATATTCTCTCAGTAAAGTAATAATAATAACCACACCTCACCTTCATGCCAGTCTGTCAGGAGTTTAGAAAAAAGAAGAAAACAAAAGAAAAAAGAAAGAAAAAAAAGAAGAAAAATAGCTTAGTTGAATCGTTGAAAGATGTCAATCTGCAAGCTTAATATGCTGCTTAGTGCTTATATGCCTTAAAAGTAATTGCCATGGCCAAGTTGGGTAAAGTCGGACACTAAGGAGTAAGGATTGTCCAGATTTTACCTACCTTACTCGGGATTATTATGACCGGGATAAAGTGGTGGGTTTAGGGTAATTTCGCCATATTTTTCCCGAACCACATTTTCACCGGTCGTTAATAAACCCGCCTACTCAGCTTTTAGGGTTCCCAAGGGGTATGGGTGCTCATATTTTAATCGTTGTCTTATATTCACTAAAGAAGACTATTGGGACACTTGTTGTAGGTTTTTCGACTTCATTTGGCTAAAATTGCAAAAAATTCACCTTTTTGCCCAATTCTTGTCATATATCCTTATTGTCAAATTTGATTTAAATAGGCCAATTTTTAATTTCTTAGGTATTGACTATCTCTACATAATGAAATAGGACTCAAAGTAAAAGTAACAGTTAAATTAAAACTTGAATTAATTAAAACTGATGAAAGGGATGATCCAGATGAAGATAACGAAGACGATTACAACTTATTGGAAGACTAAACAGCTCTCCCTTTATCTTAATATCGATCTGGTTGTTACGCTTCAAATGTTAAAAATTATTTTCCATCTAGTTTGATTAACCACGAGTCATTATTTCTGTCTACTTTCAACAATTATTGATAATTCGACTTGTTTCACAAGTTTTAGCAATGCGAAAATTTCTAAACTTGCTTATCTCTAATAAGGGAATTTACATCTGAGACAAAATTTTTGAATCTAAAATTGAAAGGTTGGACACCGGTAAAATGGCGACCGGGAAAATGTGGTGGGTTTTGAGCAATTTCGCCATATTTTTCCCGAACCATATTTTAACCGGTCGTTAATAAACCCGTCGTAATAATCCCGAGTAAGGTATATTTTTTGGCCATTTCTAAAATTAACTTTTCCGACCACAGCAAAAAAGCACATAACAATAACATCAGCAAGCGATAGACCTTTCAAATGCAGGACGAATCGATAATAATAAAAAATATAATATCAAATGTGGTTGAAGTTAACGTGCATTTCAAATACTATTTCATAAATTGCAATAAATTTCGACTCTTTATTGGAATATTGGAGGACATTGCTAAAAAATTAGGCAAAACTCTCCTTAATTGCGTTGTAATTAGACGACAATCCAAGGTAATTGGTAAACTACCAAACACTAGTTAACTACAGATCAAACTTTTTGTCTTTGTAGTAATAGTAGAAAGTTAGAAAGTGGTCTCCACAGCTAATATTGTGGTATCAGACCTGTTGATGGACCGTTAACAACTCAGCGACCTGAGCTCAGGTCGTATCTTTATTACTATAACAGAGGTAAAGCAGAATTAAGCAGAGAGGAATAATAAGATAATAGAACAAATTGATTGGGAAAATTTTTAAGATTTTTTTCTACGGTACCAATAAACGTGGTATTGGTATTTCCTAATTTCCCGGCTCGTGTTTGAAAATCCCTATTTCGGCATCGGTTATAATACCAGAGGCAACATGTAGGACGTAGGTGCGGTAATATTTTGTAAATAGTGCGATTCCGCATCTGCCCAAGACTTTTTATGTGCGGAAAATTCGGAGACTAAAAACGCCGCAATTAGGCTGAACTATTCGCGAAATTTGCAGCCTTTAAGTACTTTTAGGTTGGATTATTCAACAGCGTCTCGTTACACGATTGTTGTGTTTAAAACGATAATTAACTTGCAATATGTCATATGTGTTTTCTGACAATTCTTGAGATGTATAACTATAAACCTAGAATCATCCTCATAAAAGGTTTTACAATTATATGGGCAGGATGGCCATTGGCTTGGGGTTTGTTGAGCTGATGGTGAGTATAATTATTGAGGCAGATTATTATTTAGAGTAACTTTACAACATTAGATTCCAACACATTATCCATATTCCAACACATTGTGCGTACAATCCAAGGTGAGTAAAATGGATACATTTCAATCTACTGAGGGATTGCGATCCAGCTTGTCAAGATTCAACCTCTTTTGCTTTTTTCAAATATTGATAGTATTAAAAGTCAATACATTATCAGCTTGCCATCTGATAATAATAAAGAACTTCTTGGAATAGTTTTAGGAAAAAATGTTTTTCCTAATTTTACTATTAATTCTACTATACTTTCAAATGTTTTTTATGTCAAGTCAAGAAAAGCGTTTGACCCTAACCATAGTTCTATAGTTTTGGACATGTCGATCATATCTTATTGTTCACAGCAATACCAAGTTGAAGTACACAAATCTGATAGAATAACGGCTGATAGTGCAAAAAAGTGTGGTATTAGGTCAATAGTGCGATTCCGCACTTATATGTTGCCTCTGATTCAGTAACAATAGATTTACTCGGACGATTAAATATTTAAAATTTTAAAGAATAGAGATAAGAATGTCGAATATTCACTAAAAAACAGAAGAATTAGAAGCTATAAAAAACAAAAGCTAAGACTAAAACTTAAAATCACCAATCAATTTTTAAAGTTTCTGTTTTTGTTTTTAATGAATAGACGTAATCAACATTTTCAATTTTCATATTCAGGCATATTAAATAAAATTATATTGTTATGTATTATATTATTTTGTAAACATTGGCCGGGTACCAAAAACCGGTCCCCAAACAAACAAACACCAATATAATAAACAACAAACACAGGGCTGTATTAATGAGTAGTGGAATTTAAATTCAGCTGGTTGGTTCGAAATCACCATCCATACTAATCTAGCATAAAATTCCCTTTGATGTTGTGACCACTGGAATGCCATACAGCCGTGACTGCGAGTGAGAAGTTGGCTTAATGTTACTAAAGTATGCACGTGGGATGTTGGCTTAATTTTACTGAAGTATGCACGTGGGTAGTTGGCTTAATGTTACTGAAGTATGCACGTGGGAAGTTGGCTTAATGGTACTGAAGTATGCACGTGGGTAGTTGGCTTAATGTTACTGAAGTATGAACGTGGGAAGTTGGCTTAATGTTACTGAAGTATTCACGTGGGAAGTTGGCTTAATGTTACTGAAGTATGCACGTGGGAAGTTGGCTTAATGTTACTGAAGTATGCACGTGGGAAAATGGCTTAATGTTACTGAAGTATGCACGTGGGAAGTTAGCTTAATGTTACTGAAGTATGCACGTGGGAAGTTGGCTTAATGCTACTGAAGTTTGACATTCTTGTTAATAATAAACTTCGTTTACTATTCTGGACGGAACCATTGGGTTTCGAGTATCACATATAAATATAACAAGGTACAGTGACTTCAGCTTCTCGAACTCTCTTCAGACGGTCTCAAGCTTGACGGTATGATTATATAAGCTTATAAGCGAGCTGGAAAATACATCATATTATGAAACATAATTCAACTATAATTCAACTATAATTCAACTATAATCAAACTATAATCATTCACGAGAACTAAAATAATACAGACGATTTAAATAAGATCTTGATCTACAAGATCCCTAATTGGTGACTACCGATGTAACTACCATCAAATGTCATTACTATACCAGCTTAACACCTTTACTATAATACTATCTTTACACCAGCATGTACCTGGTTCACTCTATTGTGATCGCCATCATGGAAACACTACACAGCCATAACTTCGTGCGGTAATGTAAATTACCTAACTCAGAGATACAAAGTGATATTAATATACGATGACATTAAACAAGCTTCTTAGAGCAGGATTTTGGTACAAAAGGCGAACTTATAAGCTTCCTCGGGCAGACAACAATGTCATTTTATTACTATTAGACCACTTTGTTAAACTAAAGGGTTAGGTATGTTAGGACAAACATAGACACTAGACAGCTCTCCCTTTATTTTACGCTCCCAATAACCTTACGATCGTCCTTGTCCCAACAGTACTGCAGCTGACAAGTGTTATACCCAGTTGATCTTTATTAAGTCTGAGGTGGCAAAACATTACAAGGGGAACAATATAAATAAGTGCGGCAGAGAGACATCGGAGGAGAGACAGAGGGCAGAAGCGCAAACGGCGGAAGGAAGAAGATCAGAAAACGGCTGTCTGGTTGTAAAAATTATTAATTTTGGATCTCCAAAGTTAATCATTTGCAAAAGGCATCTCGGAGCCTTTTGATTCGGCAGGGAACAATACAAATTTCTAGAATAGCCCAAAACAAGATTTGCCCTTTGTTGAAATATTTACACTAATACCATTTTAAAAATTATGAGATTATGCTACAGTTAGAGCATAATGAACATATTTCAGGAGTATCAATTTGTCGCTTATATGAACTCTGACAGGAAGTTGATGTCCTTTAGATAATTATAGTGATGTACAGTGTACACTGCTTGGATGGATAACAATATGAATAACACGTTAGCAAAAAAATTTCTCGACATGACGTTCCCAGAGAGGGATTCGAACTCACAATCCTTCCTAGAGGACTAAGTGAACAATACGTTAAAGTAAGATATTTCAACCGTCAACATGATTCCGTTATATAATAGTCAAAAGTATAATGTATAATGATTAATGGTTAAGTTACTGATCATCTGGTTGTGTTAGACCTGGGGTTCTAGGCCCTGCAGTCTACACGTCACACAACTCCTTGATCTGGGAACCAGAACCCCGATAAGTACACATATGAAAATACCATTTTACCGGGTAAAAAAAACAGGCAGGACTGCTGAGGAGTTAAAGTTTCATTGAACAAATTTTTCTGATCCTGTCACCGTGTCAGTACGCTATCCAGCTTCTGAATATTAGATCAAAGAGCTCTGAACGCTTTTTAGAAATACACAAATCTAAATTCTTGTCGGAATTGTTAATTTAATCGATTATATTAAGCCGAATAACGTTCTAATCAACACGCTAACATTTCAGAACATAAGATTAGTACTGGGAAATACACTTC